GAGCAGTACCCTCAAGACTGCATATTTAAAATCACCGGTGAAAGGTTGCCACACACCTTCACCTCATATCCATACGGCAACTGTAATCATGTCCCAACCTGTTTCTGCGTTTAGTAAAATAGTTCGACTGCACTTGGTGGGAAGCCATGCAATCGTGCTCGATTTAACGCAGTCTCCGTGCGTTACCTTTGCCTTTCAGCGCGGGTCCCCTACACGGTGGTACTGTTCCCCGGGTAACGCTCCAGGGGGTTCGTGGCGAGCGCCTCTTTATCAAACATGTCATTGATCGACATGACGACAAGAGCCCCGAGGTCGTTCGAGTGAACTAAAATGTTCTGTACGCAACAAGTTAGAAAATTATGGTGTAAGCTGACTTGACTTCATTTAATTGTCTTTTACGTCACAATGATTTATAGATAAACATTTTTGAGTGGGGTGAGTCCGAGGGTGACCAAAAAGTTCTGGTGCAAGACAGTGGTTGGGGGGGGGGAGAGGGGGGGGTCCACTTAGAATTTGACTTTTAGTGGGTCCACTTACAATCCGACCTTTTAGCGCACGTAAAATATACTGTATAAATGTGGTTTGGAAACGCTCCTGTTACACTTATTCTAACCAAACAGATAGTTGATATTTGCATAGTTTCCTCTCTCTCACACACATATTTTACATTAATGTTACAAAAATTACCCCCTTGTATGGTTGCCTCCCCCCACCTATTATACGCAAAAGGTATACCCAAGTTCCTGTTCTCAAATTGGTGCCATTGGTACAGTAGTAATCTTAGATTTTAGTGTATTAAGTTTACCATCGCGTCCTTGTTACCTTAGTTTGAAGTAGTTTAATTTTCAACGAAAGAGAGCTCATTGGTTTTGTTTTGTAATAGGACGCATGAACTTAAATAACCATGCATTTTACAAGGACAAAATTAGTGTTATTTCGTAATATAATTTCTTATAAGGTAAACACATTTTTAATTTTAATAGATTTCAATAATATTGTAAGATAACAGTTAGTGTAGAGGTACTGATTACTGAATATTATCTAAACTACTACATCATACTACATGTTACACTACTAAGTTTAGTTTTAGACTATGACTATATAACTATATATAATTATAATAGTTATAATTATAGTATAGACTATAGATTTATGAACTTAATACTTATGAGTATGAGCAGTGTTACTAACTGTTACTGTTACACTGTTCAGTAGTAGTTTTGATACTATTCAGTACTGAGTGCCTAAACTCTCAGTATAACTCCGCAATTAGTAGTACTTTTAAGTACTGTTATTTAGTAGTAGTGATGTTGATTGTTATTAAATTTTTTCATGATTCAAGTCAGGTACCGGTACATGGCATACAGTTAGAACCTGGTTATGTCGATGGCCTCGGGGTTTGCCGAAATGGGTCGGGATAACCGATGTTTGAGATAACTGAAAACCAATATGGTGGCAATATATTAACATGTGCTTGAAATTTCTTTATGTACGATGTGCGTTAATAAATGCTTCAGTGCCTTCAGTCTTCACTAAAAAAAATATTTTTTTTAAAAATATTACAGTTACTTGAGTTACAGTAGTTATTTAGAGCAAATTTCAAATTAAAAAATGAAATCAGAATCAACTTTTTAACTTAAGTACTTTTTGAACTACACATTTTAAAGTGCAAGTTCATTTGGTATTTTCTACTATGGATGAAGCCTCCACATTTTGTGACCTCATTCTGCTGCTCATGTCTTGCGCAATGACTAGGCCTACATAGCTTATATAAGGCAACGCATCCCCTTATTACTAAAATACTATTTAGGGACTACTTATTTTGAACTTTCAACTCTGGCACATGACTATTTAATTAAAGCTTTCCCTGACCAATGGTTTAATAGCTATTGCACACAGCAAACTCTTATGAATGAAACTCTTACGTAGTACCATGGCATAGCCATTATGCAAGTGATTGTGAAAGGCTGCCCATGACAACGTTTTGTGCACTGCAAATTATGATCATTTATAATATTGACTCTACCTGGTTTTTAAACCTTGAATTAAAACATATTTATTTAAATTACTTCTAGATTCATTATAAAACACAAGTCCTCTATTTTGAGAAATAAGTCATTATTTTTAATTATGAAAAACTTTTTTTATTTGTTGTTTGCTATTTCTTATTGCGGAGTTCAAAAGCCAGTGATTGGTTGTGGGGATCGAGATAACCGAGGTTAAGTGGCAAATTTGTTTCCTTTTGTGTTTGAGATATCAGGGTTCTGCGACATAAAAGAATCGACATAACCCAGGAGAAAATGCTAAGACAAAGAGAGAATTAAGCGGTTTCACTTAAAAAATGTCAACATAACAGGGTTGGCGAGTTAACCGAGGTCGAGATAAGCGGGTTCGACTGTACTGTAAATACTCATACTCAACAAGTCAAGTGTGAGTGTGTACAAGAAAGCTAATTTCTCTACATAAATTTCAATTTAAATAAACAATTTCAAACTTTGTTTTTATTTTTTTATCTTATGAGTCGTTTTAAAAAAATGCAATGGCTTGGCTTACCATTTTTTCAGTCTTTCTTCAATAAATCAAGTGTCACCTTTTTTGTTTTAATTGGTAGTTAATGCTCAAGAGATCAAGCCAATTTATCAAACCATTATGTGCAGGCTGTTTCAAATCTCTATTTGTACCATCAGGAACTTATGCAACTCTTCCCCAGGTAAACATTTATTTAAAAATAGATTAGTTTAGAGTGAGAATAGAAACATTGAGGGTGAACCTACATCATTTTAATCTTCTTCTATGGCAGGATGCATGTCAATTTAGGAATTAAAATTAGGTTTTACCCTTGAAATAAAATTTTATTAAAATAGTGGTAAATTGACACAATCCATGGCACTTATTTCCCATGGCTGCCATCTTGGTTGCCATGACGACACAAGTCATTACAACTAAGATGGCAGCAGTTCTAAAAAAAAATTAGTGCAAGCATACACCTGCTAAAGTGGGGATGAGAATGTGCTGTTTTAGCTAATTACTGCGAGAAACGAAAATAGGAACAAAACGTTAGAATTTAAAGAAATAATTTCAGCCGGTACATTAATTTTGTGGTGAAATAAGTAAATTTATTTTATCCCTCTAGATATGCGGCAAGAAATGTGAACAACCTGCGGTCACTCTCTTTCCTGGCGTAATTTTATCTGGTACATTAATTTCATGGCGAACATAGCAACTCAACTATAAATACGTCAGCTACAGTTACACACTGTGATAAGAAAAGTGAAAAATGAAGAAAAACAACACAAAATAATTTTAACATAATGAAAACCCAACTTACCATTTTAAAGAATGCACTTTTAATTTGTCAGAAAAAAAGTACAATACTCTTCCCATTTTCTAAATGCAGGAAAATTTAAATATTATAACTAACTACCCAATAACATTATAATTTAAAATATTCCATTGGGTACTGGCATTAATGTTTAAAAAAAAGAAAAGTTAACTCTACCAACACTCCAAGAACAAACAAAAGGGAGAGAATCCTACGCAGACCAAATAAACCTACACTGTAATCTTTAATGTAGATTAAATATGTTGTCAAAGTTGAAGTAAGTTGAAGTATTTTCATCTTAGTTAATATGAATACGTTTCATTTTGATGAATTCTTGTGACATGATTTTTGACAGAAACATGCGATTATAAGTAGCAATAATGTCATGGATGAAATGTCCACCTGGCAGAAAATAAAGTGGAATGTTGGATTGCATGGTAAACTGGAAGTGCCTAGAACCGTGAGTAATTAAGAATAATCAAAATATCCTCATGCTAAGAGAGGATGGATGAATCATGCCAAGAGAGGATGGATGAATCATGCTAAGAGAGGATGGATGAATCATGCTAAGAGAGGATGGATGAATTATGCTAAGAGAGGATGGATGAATCATGCTAAGAGAGGATGGATGAATTATGCTAAGAGAGGATGGATGAATTATGCTAAGAGAGGATGGATGAATCATGCTAAGAGAGGATGGATGAATCATGCTAAGAGAGGATGGATGAATCATGCTAAGAGAGGATGGATGAATTATGCTCAGAGAGGATGGATGAATTATGCTAAGAGAGGATGGATGAATCTGCTCTTACATCAAATGTTCTTGTGAAATAAATGAGCTACTTTAATATTTTTTCGCGCCATGGTAATGATTTCCTTTCCACATTCCTGGTTTGAAGTAATGTTGAATAAATGAATTAGAGTGTCTTGTAAATGTTTTTATTTCAGAAGCTCCTCTTATCAGGAATGAACTTGTATGTTTCGTGCACAGACTTTGTAGATTTCAGTGAATTTGTGAAAGGTTTGTCATTTATTTTATGTTCACTACATTGTAAATTTCAACAACTGAGTTGAGATTTCCTAATCTTAAAATAGGGCTTTGAAAATTTTTTATCATTTTAATGATTGTGAATCTTTGCACACATTCCAAGCAGAGATGTACTGAGGGTGTGGCAAAACATGGCACGGCATGCACCACAGGCACAAATTTAATGGGGTAGCCAAAGTTCTCTAGAGCTTGGCATGCTCCACAGGCACACAATTAGTGGGGGAACCAAAGTTCTCTAGAGCTCGTTAAGCCCAATTTTAGTTCTTTATAGTGGGTGCCATATGTCTTCAATCAGTATTTGTCTTTTTTTTTTGTACTGAGGTTTCTTAAAATGATCTATCCCTTCTACGCAGGAGTAAATCTGCCAGACACATTCACATCATGGTTTCTACTTGTACAGCTGCATACATGGTGAGAGCTTTTTACCATCTCTTACCTCAAACTCTTAAAATGTATCTTCTCTCTCTTTCTCTCTCTCTCTCGCCCTTTTTACCTCTGTTTACTTGTGCGCCATTCTCTTCCTCCATTGTTACCATCCCTGCTCTCTTTCTCTCCCAGCTTACATCAACTTTTTTCTTCTCTTCTTCTCACCTTCCATTTTGTATTGAGCCCTCCCTCATCCTTCCCTCCTTCATCCTTCCCTCCCTCATCCTTCCCTCCCTCATCCCTCCCTCCCTCATCCTTTTATCCCTCAATCCATCCCTTGTTCCCTCATTCCATCCCTGTCCCATGCCCTCGCCCTATCTCTCAGTCCATCCCTTCTTCCCATAATATATCAATCCGTCTCTCAGTCCATCCCTTCTTCCCATAATATATCAATCTGTCCCTCAGTCCATCCCTTCTTCCCATAATATATCAATCTGTCCCTCAGTCCATCCCTTCTTCCCATAATATATCAATCTGTCCCTCAGTCCATCCCTTCTTCCCATAATATATCAGTCTGTCCCTCAGTCCATCCCTTCTTCCCATAATATATCAATCTGTCCCTCAGTCCATCCCTTCTTCCCATAATATATCAATCCGTCCCTCAATCCATCCCTTCTTCCCATAATATATCAATCCGTCCCTCAGTCCATCCCTTCTTCCCATAATATATCAATCCGTCCCTCAATCCATCCCTTGTTCCCTCCCTCTGTCTCTTTTTCTCCCTCATCTTTCGCTCCCTTCATCCCTCGCTCCCTCCATCCATTCCTCTCTCCTCCCCTCAATCCTTCCCACCCTTCATTCCTCATTCCATCCCTTGCTTCCTCAACAATCTCTCTCTCTCTCTCTTTTTCTTTCTTTTTCAGTTTCTATTTATCTTATATGCCAGTGTTATCTATTTACAAGAGTTATCTATTGACACGTGTTATCTCTAACTTCAGGCTGGTCAATGTAAAACTGTCCCAGATGGGCAAAGAAGGCGTCCTGCTGAAAAAGTACATGTACACAGCCATGTGGCAAAATGTGGAGCGGAGGCTAGAAACATTTCAGGTCATTTGAGAACCAGATTGATTAATAAATAGTTATGCTACACGGTATCGCTGCACAAGTTAGCTTAGATGTCATGTCTTACACTGGCAGAGCTAGACATTGGTAAATTCATGGGCATACTTAGGTATTTGTAAATTCATTGGCATAGCCAGCTAGTAATTGGTAAATACACTGGTATACCTAGATATTTGTAAATACATTGGTATACCTAGATATTTGTAAATACATTGGCATACCTAGATATTTGTAAATACATTGGCATACCTAGATATTTGTAATTACATTGGTATAGCTAGATATTTGTAATTACATTGGTATAGCTAGATATTTGTAATTACATTGGTATAGCTAGATATTTGTAATTACATTGGTATAGCTAGATATTTGTAATTACATTGGTATAGCTAGATATTTGTAACTACATTTACTTTAGATACAGTTCCTGGCATCAAGCTTTCGTTACACCCCAGCACAGTGGGCTTATACTTTTAGGTTCTGTCCCGACAACTGGTTCTGTTACTGACTCCCAGTTAGGGCACTAACAACTGGCTCTGTTACTGACTTCCAGTTATGGCACTGACAACTGGCTTTGTTACTGACTCCCAGTTCTGGCACTGACATCAGGGACTGTTACTTACCACCTGGTTTATGCCACCAAAACCTGGTTTTTGACTTGGGCACTGCACTGGGGTCAACAATGATGATATTTTGTAACACACATGTTCTCAACACTTACATATTTTGAGCACACCACTGGGTCAACACTTACATATTTTGAACAGACAGCCATGTCAGCACTTACATATTTTGAGCACACCACTGGGTCAACACTTAAATATTTTGAACAGACAGCCATGTCAACACTTACATATTTTGAGCACACCACTGGGTCAACACTTACATATTTTGAACAGACAGCCATGTCAACACTTACATATTTTGAACACACAGCTGTGTCAACACTTAAATATTTTGAGCACACCGCTGGGTCAACACTTACATATTTCAAGCACACAGCCATGTCAACAGCAAAGTGCTGTTGTGGTTACAATGAGAAGATAAATGGAAGGCCGTTTTTGATTTCAAAATTTAAAAAAAAAATGTATTGAATGATTGGATTATTTCTTTATATTATTTCTCAATATTGTTTCTCATTTTCTGGTGTACATGAAAACAAAACGGATTAAGTTCCTGAAAGTGAATGTACGTATAATTGTATGAAAGCTGATGTCACAAACGCAGTGATCAAAAAGATTTATCAAGTTCAATCTATTCACTTAAGTGGAAACCGGGCCAAGTGCCCACCACGATTTGGTCTACTTCAGAATTTACAAACCTTGATACACACCTGCTTCACAATGACTGTCACGACATCATTTTCAGTATACGGAGCTGTGACTCAGCAATGTTTCGCGGGCTTTATCTTGTTGCTAATGTATTTTTGGTTACAGGACATAAGTGGGAGTGAGCGGAGGAAAGCTCTAGAAAACTACTACAGTCTGATGGTTCTGTCTGTGTTATACTACGATGAGGTTAGTGAGTTAGGTTCTGTCTGTGTTATACTACGATGAGGTTAGTGAGTTAGGTTCTGTCTGTGTTATACTACGATGAGGTTAGTGAGTTAGGTTCTGTCTGTGTTATACTACGATGAGGTTAGTGAGTTAGGTTCTGTCTGTGTTATACTACGATGAGGTTAGTGAGTTAGGTTCTGTCTGTGTTATACTACGATGAGGTTAGTGAGTTAGGTTCTGTCTGTGTTATACTACGATGAGGTTAGTGAGTTAGGTTCTGTCTGTGTTATACTACGATGAGGTTAGTGAGTTAGGTTCTGTCTGTGTTATACTATGATGAGGTTAGTGAGTTAGGTTCTGTCTGTGTTATACTACGATGAGGTTAGTGAGTTAGGTTCTGTCTGTGTTATACTACGATGAGGTTAGTGAGTTACTTTGGCCATTCTCATGCACTCTTCCGACCTCGTTATGCTCTGTCTAAATATTAGTCAACTGCTACTGCCTGCTGTGTTTTAATTTAACTCAAATTGATTTTCTTTAATGCTATGATATGTTTGTAATTTAAAACAGTATAATCCTTTGTTAAAACATTCACACAAATTTAAGTAATCCATTATAAAAAATTAATAGCAGAGGAATTATACCTTTTGTTTTCCCATTTGTTCCTTAATGACCTGTCATATATAATGGAGGCAGTACATATTTAATCAACAGTTTAATGATTCTATGACATAAATTAATTATGTTTTTACTTTTTTTTTTCCCAAGAAAAACAAAATTTTTAAGTTGCAAGTTTAGCAAACATTTTTAAATTACTTTTCTGTTGCTTCAAAGCAACCGTCTCTATCTGTACTTAGCGTAACTTTTGAACACTCAACAATAAAACAACAGTCTGTACTTAGCGTAACTTTTGAACACTCAACAATAAAACAACAGTCTGTACTTAGCGTAACTTTTGAACACTCAACAATAAAACAACAGTCTTTACTTAGCGTAACTTTTGAACACTCAACAATAAAACAACAGTCTGTACTTAGCGTAACTTTTGAACACTCAACAATAAAACAACAGTCTGTACTTAGCGTAACTCTTGAACGCTCAACAATAAAACAATGTTTGTATCACAGGGTCTTCTAGGGTCAGATAAAACGTTAGCCAACTCCTTGTGGATACAGTTGTATGGATTGGATCCCGCTGTGCAGACGGACAAACTGGAGATCTTGGTCGAATATGTCAGGAAACAGGTATGAGACCGAATGGTGCCAGAGATTTAAAAATGGATAGTCTAAAAATTTGCCAAAAAGGCACACCAAAAGAATTAAATGGATAAAAGTGAAACTCTAAATTATTTCGTTCCAGGTTCATCACCATGATCAACTTGACCCCTATCCCATCATGAGGTACGGCTACATCTCATTTTTACCTCTCTTTGGAGACAAACTCGATGAGAAGAAAGTTCAAAGAGATATCCACAGCATAGAGTGGGCTTATAAAGATGTTTTGTAGTGTCAAAGATCATTGACAGTGGGTGCTGTTGTGATCTTTTGATAAAAACACATTCAGGGAAGATAAGTCTTAATCTCCTTGAATTATGTTCAGTTGGGAAAGGGAGGCCAGATAGAACTTTATTCCGGCAAAAGTTGGAACTAAAATGCCATTCTGTGCAATTTGAACATGTTAAGATGAGTAAAGATTGGTATAAATCACAGTGAGCGATTGAGCACACGGGGTTTATGAGTATTACCCTAAGATGAAATCACAGGCATTGTAAATATTGATAGCAGTAATCATTGTGAGAGTATAATTTATAACTTATTTAATGTGGGACATGCACTGGATGAATGTCCTGGTGTGACATGCACCGGATGAATGTCATGGTGTGACATGCACCGGATGAATGTCATGGTGTGACATGTGCCGGGTGAATGTCATGGGGAACTTGTTGTTTATTGAACAAATAAATATTATAAAAACTTGAATTGAGAGGTATTTTTTAAAGAGATTAAAATAAATCAAAAAGATACTTTTTAGAGATAAGGATAGCTCATAGTTTTTTTATTTATAACTCATAGCTTGGGATTCTCTGCTATTTTTTATTAATGAATGGAGTTGATTAATTAAAAAATATGATAAGAATGAGATAAGATACTATGTGATGCTTTTACTGATAGAAAAATAAAAATTGGAAATTTGTTTTCATTTCATTGTACACATTGTTCTTAGTCTTGAAAGTTTTTGTCAGACCTGTTGTTAAATTGAACCATTGTGTGGTGAGATTCACTGTGTCAGCTGATAGGTGAACCATTGTGTGGTGAGACTCACTGTGTCAGCTGATAGGTTAACCATTGTGTGGTGAGACTCACTGTGTCAGCTGATAGGTGAACCATTGTGTGGTGAGACTCACTGTGTCAGCTGATAGGTGAACCATTGTGTGGTGAGACTCACTGTGTCAGCTGATAGGTGAACCATTGTGTGGTCAGATTCACTGTGTTAGCTGACATGTGAACCATTGTGTGGTCAGATTCACTGTGTTAGCTGACAGGTGAACCATTGTGTGGTGAAATTCACTGTGTTAGCTGACAGGTGAACCATTGTGTGGTCAGATTCACTGTGTTAGCTGATAGGTGAACCATTGTGTGGTCAGATTCACTGTGTTAGCTGATAGGTGAACCATTGTGTGGTCAGATTCACTGTGTTAGCTGATAGGTGAACCATTGTGTGGTCAGATTCACTGTGTTAGCTGACAAGTGAACCATTGTGTGGTGAGATTCATTGTGTTAGCTGACAAGTGAACCATTGTGTGGTCAGATTCGTTTTGTTAGCTGACAGGTGAACCATTGTGTGGTCAGATTCGTTTTGTTAGCTGACAGGTGAACCATTGTGTGGTCAGATTCACTGTGTTAGCTGACAAGTGAACCAGTGTGTGGTCAGATTCGTTTTGTTAGCTGACAGGTGAACCATTGTGTGGTCAGATTCACTGTGTTAGCTGATAGGTGAACCATTGTGTGGTCAGATTCACTGTGTTAGCTGACAGGTGAACCTTTGTGTGGTCAGATTCATTGTTAGCTGACAGGTGAACCATTGTGTTGTCAGATTCACTGTGTTAGCTGACAAGCTTACAAGCTGAAACTGGAGCCAATTTCTAGGAGATCTCTTCTGATGCCTGAGTCCTTTCTGTGTGTCTGATATTGTCTATGCTTGAGGTAAATCTACTGTCTCAAGCATTTGAATCATGAAACATGTAAAAAATCTAAGTTTTTTAATTAATTTTTTTTTAGAACATTGTAAATCTCAAAATTAAGTGCAGAGAGTCTATAAATGATGACCTAGAAAAGGACTTCAACTCATGTTGTTAGTAAACAATGATCCTATCCGTGAGACATGGAATCTGCATGAATCAGTTATTTTTTTATATGCAAATTTTCCTCAAACTATCAAAATTAGTTCTATGTATTTAATAATAAATTTGATACATAATGTGATTATCTGATTGTTTTTTCCCCCCATTGTGTAGAATAAATTGTTACAGAAAAATTCACAATTAAATATTCCACACTTTAAAATTTTTAGGCAACGATATCCATTTCAGAGCTTGGAGTTTATTTGCAATAATTACTCATTACTCATATATAGATCTAATTAAAAATAAAAAACTATTAAAACGCTGGTGAATGAAATAACATGAATACCTAGACTTATTTAACAGGGAGCGATTATTGTTTTTATTGATGAAGTCGTTGAACAAAATTTGATGGAAGCATCTAAAGATAATTCTCTGTGACTGTATTCTATTTTTATCAGTCTGAAAGTATAAGCTTAGCAATATTAGCAGAGCAAATTTTAATCTGAAACGGAAACCTGACCAGTTGTTACAAAGGTCTTTGTTTACCGCCAGTTGTAGGAGAGCCCTGACCTTTCTGGCCATGGTTCGAGACCTGTGAACGTTTGCTAGCAACCAATACACGGTCGGTTGGAATAACATTACTGTTATTTGATTTGTTTCGTTATTGACAAGGTCTCCATTTAAAGTAGTGTGAGTCTGACGCATTGTTCATAATTTAGCCAATCAGAGATTTTAAATTGACCAGTAGAGTGACCAAGAGCACATATTCGCTGGACCCCCGGGGGTGGGGGTAGGGTGGGGGGATATGCCAGAAATACATAAAATAAACAATAAATACAAAGAAATTGTAGAGTTAATAACAAATATTTTTTTTTATTACTTATACTTGTATGAACACAATAAGTTTCCTCAAACTACCGGTACATGGGTTGGGGGGAATGGCTTGCCATACTAGTCCGGTGAAAGGGTTCTACAGATTTGGTGGTGCAATGCCTGTCCGACACAGATGCTGGCTGCATAAAGGCACTGCATCTTTCTCTGTGATCGTCTTGTACTAACTCAGCTCGCCAGCAAGCCAGGGGTATCAGAATGAACTCACTCGACCAAAGTTGAATCTATTTATAGTTTCTCAAATGACATGTATGTCTTTAACACACCAAAAATGAATCTATTTATTATTTCTTTAACGGTATTGGAAGTTTCTCCTCAGATGATTGACATTATATATTGACACACACAACAATTAAGTATTTCTTGCACACTGTTGTCACGACGGGGCGGGTGAATGTCTTAAGTACGATGCCACGCCTCCTCAAGCTCAACCAATCAGAACACGGTAGAGGGCTAACATGCGAGCATGGGGACTTGAGGCAAGGGAAAACGAGTTTTGTTTCTAAAGGGTTAAGTGCATCTCTTTGCATTAGTTCCGGTAATTGTTACGTTACGTCACCCGATGACCGTAACCAGGTTCTTCCCTATGCCGACCAGGGGAATCTGTCACCATGTAAAACTCCGCCTCTGTGGGTGCGATACGCCCGCGGCATCGACGCCGCAGCGTGGCTGTGATACAATACACTGTAAGGGACAACCACCAGAGGAGAAGCCGACTGGAGGAGGGGTGCTGCATACGAGGGGTCGCCCCCGTAACGGTCAACGTTTTCACGGGGTGACCTCTTGATCCTGGAATGACTTCCGGTCGCCGCTTTCTTGGCCGGGTGTTCAGCGGTTGATGACCAAGGCAACCTGTCACCGTTCACAACCCGCCCCCTGGGAGAGGCGTGGCTGGGTTTCAAGAGAAAATTGTTTTCAGAACTGAAGTGCAGGGGGCGAATTCCGAAAATGCCAGAGTGAGATGCCCGAAAAGGAAAATCTGGAGAGATCTCTGATGTTGACAAAATGTTCCTTGAGAATTTGCCCGCTGAAGAAATAAGCGGAGCTCTGTTGGACCCGTAGAATCGGGTCAAGTCATTCCAGAGATGACCTGGGAAGTAAGGGTCCGAAAAATGCGGGCTAACTCCATCGTGTTTCTCCGACCGCTTGAAGCGTGGTCGTGTGTTGTCCTCACTCGTGTTTGCGTCATCAGTCGACCGTTTTCTTCGCCCTGGCTCCGCTGTTGGGGGAAGGGGCGTAACCGTTGTGGTCGTGGGTGGCGTGGTGGGGTTGGGAATGAACGGATCGAGGCTCTGCTGAAAGGGGTCAATGTTGTCTTTGGTCGCGGGGATCAAGATGAAAGGATCAACAGGTCGCCTGGGCGTGATGGGGGCGTAGATGATCGTTTCCGTGGGCGGGATCTGGGCGTACGTCCCCGGCCGTTTGGCGTAGAACGTCGGCGGTGTGGGTGTGAGGGGCTGTTGATAAAAAGGATCGTATAGCGATGACGTCATGGGTTGTGGGGGAATGTAACCCGTTTTTGTGGAATGCGTTTCGTTCGCGTACACGACTTGTGAGTTCGGGGAAGTATTCCATTGACTAGGCTGAAAGCCGAAGTTGTTGGGCTGGGACTGCGGGGGTAAATCCCAGCTGCTTGTCGGGGCAACGTAACCCTGGGGTGATAACTTCAGCTTGTTGCGCAGATTCTGATTCTGGCGCAGCAGCTGACGGAACAGCGACATGACCTCTTTACTCGGAGCTTTGGCTGGCGAGGCCGATGCGGCGCCGTAGAAGCCTTTGCCGTAGCTCGGCTGCTTCGTCGACGTCTTCATCATCAACGCCAGCGCCTTCTCCCGCCCTTTAAAGAGGTCGATGGGGATGATGATCTCCCCGATGGTGATCACCTCGCCCTCGTACGGCACAGCAGCTCGCCTTCGTCGTTTTTTCCCGGGAAGCTGGTCGCCATAATAGCCGTCGCCGTTGCGTTTCTGGTCGTAACTGGGTTTTCTCGGAATGGAGTTCTCCCTGTAGCGGTGGAGACTCGGCACGGGGCTCATCAACCTCTGCATTCGAGAGAAATACCAAAGGGGCGCCATGTTTTGCACGAAGTCCGCGGGCTCCTTGCCCGGGGGAGGCTGGGCGTGAAACGGCAGGGTTGACACGTAGCTGTTGACCATCATGTTCCGCATGGCGTCCCCGCCGAACTCAATCCTCTTCCCCGTGTTCGGATCCGTAGCCGTGCCCGCCATGAGGCTAAACATATCCGGGCCGGCAGCATGCCCTTCCGGGTCGAACGGAAAGAGAAATCGTTTTGCCCTCGACAGGTTGGCTGCATCAACCCGCTTCTGGCTGGCGGTTGCCCGCTTTCTCCGACCGTGATAACTTTCCCCGTACATCCCTCCACCGATGGGCGGTTTGTCCGCGCTTAGACCACCAGCGGTCCGACCCGGACCGCCGTACTCACTGGCAAGCCTCGCTTTTTGAAGACGGCTGAACATCAGCAGGTTCTTCATCATGATTTCACCTTCGGTGACTTCCCTTGGAGGGGCTGTGGGGTCTGCTGGGAGTGTATCGAACAGTCCTCCCCCAGTAACAGGCGGGAAACCGTTTAAATAAAATCTTTTTTGTCGCGATAAAGACATTTTTGCGCCAACTTCATTATCGACGTCATTGTTATCTGTGCTCCTTTTGTCTCGCGGAATATCGTCAATCCCTTCACTATTTTGTGATGACGACCTTGACCTCTTCTGACGTTCGATGCCCACGTGCACATCCGGGTTCGTGTCCGCCTCCCGTTTTCTTTTGGTTTTGATGCTCGTTGTAAAAATAACCCCTGGAGGCCCCAGCGTTCCCAAGGGTCCGCCGCTGTCATTGGTGGAAGAAGGATTAAAGTGGTTCAAAGTGATTCCCTTCTTCACGCAGTCACGTGGCAAGGATGACTCCACCCACAAGGGGAGGAGCTCGGCCAGATAATTGGCAGGTACGTTTTTCTCATAAGTCTGTCGGAATGTCCTAGTCATCTGGTTTCTGCGGAAATAAATTAATGTTAGTTTTGTGTCTTATATTGTATTTGATGTATGCAGAATTCTTACAAACACAGAGATATGTCAACCGTTTCAAGTCACACCCATTGTCGTAACAATTTTAAAAAAGTCAGTTTAGTACTGGACATGACACATTGAGAGGATACCGGATTGTAGAGTAGCTCAACTTGAAATGCCGTTACAGGCAGAAACCTAGGGGCAGACGGTTCGACCAAGACTGACATGGCTTGACCATGTTGAGGGGGTCCGCGCATGGAGTCGAAAAGCCATGGATTGATCCGAATCTGAATGTAAGGATGTTGTGGAGCAGGCCAGAGCCCTTCATGGGGTGTAGCGCCACTGATGATGATGTCTAAATGTAAGGATGTGGTGGAGCAGGCCAGGGCCTTACATGGGCTATAGCGCCACTGATGATGATGTCTGAATGTAAGGATGTGGTGGAGCAGGCCAGGGCCCTTCATGGGGTGTAGCGCCACTGATGATGATGTCTGAATGTAAGGATGTGGTGGAGCAGGCCATGGCCTTACATGGGCTATAGCGCCACTGATGATGATGTCTGAATGTAAGGATGGGGTGGAGCAGGCCAGGGCCCTTCATGGGGTGTAGCGCCACTGATGATGATGTCTGAATGTAAGGATGTGGTCGAGCAGGCCAGGACCCTACATGGGCTGTAGCGCCACTGATGATGATGTCTGAATGTAAGGATGTGGTCGAGCAGGCCAGGACCCTACATGGGCTGTAGCGCCACTGATGATGATGTCTGAATGTAAGAATGTGGTCGAGCAGGCCAGGACCCTACATGGGCTGTAGCGCCACTGATGATGATGTCTGAATGTAAGGATGTGGTCGAGCAGGCCAGGACCCTACATGGGCTGTAGCGCAACTGATGATGATGTCTGAATGTAAGGATGTGGTCGAGCAGGCCAGGACCCTACATGGGCTGTAGCGCCACTGATGATGATGTCTGAATGTAAGGATGTGGTGGTATATAAAACTAAGACCATTAAATCACACGGATCTATTAATGTACATTATGTTTAAGCAGTGGCTTAGCCAGAGTTTCAGAGGACCGTGAGCTCCCTGTGTTTGCTGCCCCTCTATAACGATAACCACGAAACACTACATAATGCACATCAGATATAGAACATATAAAGTATAGGGTACGACCAGGCTGGAAAAAACACAGTTTTTTACGGGGAGAAATGATCGAGTACAAATTATGTTCCGCTTTCGTGTCATTGGTCGTTTCCACGGTTTGATGACGTAATTGATCGCCGCCATGATTTGATGACGTCATTGGTCGCTGTCACGGTTTGATGACGTCATTGATCGCCGGCCATAGTTTGATGACGTCATTGGTCACTGCCACGGTTTGAAAATTTCAACATGGATTGGATGTCGTCACAGGGAATCGAAAGGAACGAAATTATTCCTATTAAAAATATTCTATTTTCATGACGTTATAAATAGATTGAATCTGTTTTCATTAGCCCTATTCATTTTAAATTTTTACTGGAATCGAGTTTAGAAACAACAAACCCTGATTTTGGTAACCAAGTACCGAGACAAAGTTGAGCAGGTAACTCAGGTGCTGGACGGGCTTAGCCGATTATGATAATACTAATACGGTTTTCAGCTGTTAACGGTACAACTTATAGGACTCCGTCAGTTGGCCGTTGGGCGAACAAGGAATCCAGTCATGACATATGTCCTCGTTTTGTGATGGGTCAATATATAGACGTGTGTTAAGAGTAGGTAGCTCGAAGCTTTGACCTTGACATTGATACCTTTCCAAAAGGAGTTTAAGTTGCCGATGATGAATCAGGATGAGGCCAAGGCCGTGTGAGGTTGAGACAGATGAAGATTACGAAAACAGATAAAAGAAAAAGATTACAAATTTGGACTTCAGATGCAGAATACGTATATGATGTTTCAGTAACGGTGCTACCGAGGCTACCTTTCAAACCAAAATATTTTCAAACAATAGTTTTAAAATAATTAGGTATTTAAATTTAAGTTGAAACATTTTTTTTTTTAAAAACTTAAAGAATTCGCAAAGGGCTACAATCGTGCATTAAAACAGCAACAACAACTCTATAAGCATGCGCCGCAGCTGCGCACCACTTTGCACACACCAGCGTGCAACTAATGTTATTGGTAGCATTCTTTTTTAAAAAGAAAGATGATTATTAATGTCACCTACCGACGTCTACACTAAGTGTAAGTTTTATCGTCTGTTAAGAATGCCTGTCATGTCAGTGTCGCCACTTTCACTTTGTGTTACCTGGCACACTAATTATGACGTTTTATTACAGACTACGAAATTATACACACAACATACATCTTATGGCCTGGCAGCATTCATGTCCCGTTCTCAACCTCGAGATTTGCGGACTACAGAGCGAGACATGGATTTATTAGCGGAGCACACTGCTAAATTCCATTCAGAGAGTATGTGTATGCTAGCAAGTTAACGTAAGCCATTCAGAGAGTATGCGTATGCTAGCAAGTTAAAACATAAGCCATCCAGAGATATGTGTAGCCTGGGGGAGGTGAACATATATGATTCAAAGCAGCTATTCCTCTTCGCAAAATCAAGCCTTGACGAAATTTTTACATTGTTTGGTCTTTCGAAGTCTGTACAGTATAAATATAACCAAGGAACTTAAGGCTGGACTTTTTAAAAAAAAACTGATGAACCAAATAGGAATAGAACCCTGCTTGTCGAGTGCATATCATCCTGATCGCAGGGAGCACTTGAGCGCTGCCACCAGACGTGAAAGAACATGACAAGAACGTGTTGCCAAGAACAAGAAAAAGGCTTGGATGAAGGAATCAACATGTGAAGGAATCAACATGCTACTGTTCGCCGCAAGAGAAGCAGTTCAAGAATCCTTTGGATTCATGGTCATAAGGGGAGAGGCTGCAATCAGGTTAGCGAAAAAAGGAAATGAGTGAAACAAATTATGAAAAAAACCTTTAAGAAATGAACTCAACAAAACAACGAACGTGTCGACAGGAAGCCTTCATCAACGATCAAACAACAGTAAAAAAAAATTATTAAATTTAAAAAATAATACTTGGCTGAAAATTACTATCCAAGAGGGCAGCAAGAGAATTGTCCACCGACACTCACTAAAGAACTTTTGGACTAAAATTTTTAATGCCTATGATTTGGCTTAATCTCATTTATGAGGTACCTAAAAAAAAGAAAAAAATGTTACCTGGTACGATAACAAGACCGAATTCTTTTGCTGCCCTCTCGGATACTACTTTTCAGCAAAGTGCTATTTTAAAAGATAAAAACCAATTTCACGCCACTTGCACTTGGACTAAAGTAGTCTGATCATAAACATAACTTGGACTCAAGTAGTCTGATCATAAACATAACTTGGACTAAAGTAGTCTGATCATAAACATAACTTGGAATAAAGTAGTCTGATCATAAACATAACTTGGACTAAAGTAGTCTGATCATAAACATAACTTGGACTCAAATAGTCTGATCATAAACATAACTTGGACTAAAGTAGTCTGATCATAAACATAACTTGGACTAAAGTAGTCTGATCATAAACATAACTTGGACTAAAGTAGTCTGATCATAAACATAACTTGGACTAAAGTAGTCTGATCATAAACATAACTTGGACTAAAGTAGTCTGATCATAAACATAACTTGGACTAAAGTAGTCTGATCATAAACATAACTTGGACTAAAGTAGTCTGATCATAAACATAACTTGGACTAAAGTAGTCTGATCATAAACATAACTTGGACTAAAGTAGTCTGATCATAAACATAACTTGGACTAAAGTAGTCTGATCATAAACATAACTTGGACTAAAGTAGTCTGATCATAAACATAACTTGGACTAAAGTAGTCTGATCATAAACATAACTTGGACTAAAGTAGTCTGATCATAAACATAACTTGGACTAAAGTAGTCTGATCATAAACATAACTTGGACTAAAGTAGTCTGATCATAAACATAACTTGGACTAAAGTAGTCTGATCATAAACATAACTTGGACTAAAGTAGTCTGATCATAAACATAACTTGGACTAAAGTAGTCTGATCATAAACATAACTTGGACTAAAGTAGTCTGATCATAAACATAACTTGGACTAAAGTAGTCTGATCATAAACATAACTTGGACTAAAGTAGTCTGATCATAAACATAACTTGGACTAAAGTAGTCTGATCATAAACATAACTTGGACTAAAGTAGTCTGATCATAAACATAACTTGGACTAAAGTAGTCTGATCATAAACATAACTTGGACTCAAGTAGTCTGATCATAAACATAACTTGGACTCAAGTAGTCTGATCATAAACATAACTTGGACTAAAGTAGTCTGATCATAAACATAACTTGGACTCAAGTAGTCTGATCATAAACATAGCGTTTGATTTTTTTAAATGGCAATTAAAAACCGGAAGTTGTAACTCTCTCAACTTTTATTTATATTTTACTAGCTGAACACCATGTCATCTGTGGTGCCCCAACGGTCCAAGGACTAAGGGACACAATGAAGATGAAGATAAGCTGAATACCCTGACGTGGCAAAGGTGTTTGAGAAAAGGAAAAGTATATGCCAATTGTGTGAACATATACCAACAATATGAATATATGCCAAAAATATGAACATATACCAACAGCGTGAACATATGCCAACACTATACTATAAACATATGTAAACACTATGAAAATTTGCCATCAATATGAACAAATGCCATCAATATGAACATATGCCATCCCCCCCATGGTTGACTCGCACGGAACGGTCGTTGGCTTTAGGCCCTAGACGAGATGACTTAAGATCTTATCAGCACGCTTGCCCTAGGCAAGGTGGGTAGTGTCCAGACGGGTAGTGTCCGGCATGTCGTATTTTGATCCCACCCGTCAGGCCTTTACTTCCCTGGACGTCCTGAGATGTACCGTCCATTGCTTCTATTCCCCCGTTGTGATCCATGGTGCACTCAGCTCCAACAACAAACATGCACTTCCAAGGTGTAGAACACTGTTACGAAATGTTGAACGAAGGATTCTTAGAGTGATCTAAGCGTACAGGCAGTTTGAAGACTAGGTGATCTAAGTCGAAGAATGACATTTAATACTCCAAATGAACGACAAGCCAAGATTTATCAAACTTAAATTTACCCACTTTATCTCAAATTATGCAGGCGAAAAAAAATCCTATAATTTATAACGTCGTGCTGATCACAATGTTCTTATAATTCTTTAACAGTCCGTGACGTTCACCGGATAAAACTGGATTTAACCATGTCCGTTTTTTTTTTGGGGGGGGGGGCATAGATCTTAAAACTAACGAGAGAGTGGCTACTGAGATCGTGTTCAGGAAATGTTGTAAAGACAAAATTAGCCCCATTTCTTTCATAGCTGAATGAACTTCCTTAAAGAAACGAATGAACCAACTTCAGATGTTTTAAATATAGCAAATTAAGCGAAACTCTTAGACGTAGACATGGACACGTTCGTTCATCTCGGGATTAACATGCAGACTTTCATCGTCAGGTAAATGGGACAATAGGAAATTAAAAAAACAACAACAACTAAACAAACTTTTAATGTCAGAGAGGGAGTACAGACAGAGATGCTTCACAGGTATAATAATACAGTCAGAGGGTAAAATGGATTCACGTGTGTAACAGATTTAAAGGGATAACAGATTCGAAAATATACCAGGTTCAGAGTTATAACAGGTTCACAGATATGACACATTCATGGGCTTTCAACAATTCAGAGTTATAACACATTCATAGGTTTTCAACAATTCAGAGTTATAACACATTCATAGGCTTTCAACAATTCAGAGTTGTAACACATTCATAGGTTTTCAACAATTCAGAGTTATAACACATTCATAGGCTTTCAACAATTCACAGTTATAACACATTCATAGGCTTTCAACAATTCACAGTTATAACACATTCACGGAACCACACAGCAATTCATCTTCCAACATTTCTATTTTAAATTTAAACCATATCTATTTTGAGACACACAGAGTACTCTACCGAACTAAACAAGATCACAAAGAACGTCTCTTGTAGCAGTAGCCGCCACGTAACCTTAGGAATTCCCCTGCCACTTATTGGTTGTAAGCCCTTGCATTCAAGAGCTCATAGTTTAACTTGTTTTTTCAGCATCATAACTTTGAAAGTTAATTAATTAAATACCTCTAAACCTGATTTGATGGAAATGTGATCTCAAGTGGCGTAGCTGGGGTTAGTGCCACCCGGGGCGGGCCGAGAATTTTGCCACCCGTTCTTTCCAAGAACCCCCCTTTTGCAGTTGGTCGAAAATGCCACCCCAGCATATAAACAAAAAAAGCCCCCCCCCCCCGGGGTGGACCACTCTCTCCGCCCCCCACTGCTTGCATTAAATGTCAGCCCCCCAGTCATCATTTAGCGGTATCTGACCCGTCCGTTGTTATAGAGGACACCTTACTGGTGATATTTTTTGTGTACAATTAAAGTAAAGGAATTTCATTTATATTATTAACACACACATGCAGATACATTAATTACGATATTTATATCAAGCTCCTAATGCACTTTTAGGTTAAGATAAATTAGCGCCTGGTGTCTTGTATTTTTAAATAATTAAACTACTGACAGTGGCGTAGTAAGGGGCTTGGATTGGGGGGGGGGGGTGCGCCGGGGCGGCACTAACCCTAGCTACACAACTGTCTCCCATCCTCCACTGTTTTTTTAAAAATAAATTTAATTTTAAGATGAATGGGAAGAAAACATTTAGTACTGGATCTGTCTCTATTTAATTAATGTACGTTAATGTTTAAGTTCATGATTATTTTAAAAAAAAATTGTTTGTACAATGTGGTGATCTCAGCCCTAGGCTTGGGTACCACGCTATATAAAACTACTACTTATAATAATATTATGGATATATACCAGCAAAATAACACCCCTATATCTGCGGATATCGTGAGGTGAAATTCAACAGGTAAACAGACCCATCGAATATACAGTAATATAATAAAATACATTGAACCATGCGTGTTAGTGTTAGAAAAAAGTATTGGATGCATAATTCTAAAAATAATTTTAAGCTGCTCAAAAAAGTATTCGATCTCAACTGAACGACAAAATATGTTTAAACTATTTTAAAAAAAATTGATTTGATTGAACGGTCTTTTTATTTTATGCAATCACTGGTAACAAGCATAGTATAATTTGTTATTCAAATTACCTCAATTCATCGCAAGTTGTCTGAGACGCACCAGCGTGCGATTGCGCGGCAAGCTCAACCAGGAAAGTGCACACAACTAAGCACTGGAAGATCTTCTGTGCTTCTTGAGGTATCGTCATCTTGGGAAGCCGCAGAGAAAATTTCTAACTAAACTTAAACTCTATAGTACAGTTTTCTAGCCTATAATATCTGATTTAAAAAAAAAAAACAAAACAAAAAAACTAGTGTGGTTACTTAAATTTCCTAGCCGGTCTAAGAGTTAAAAAATAAGATAATTTTTGTAAAAATGTTTTCTTCGCCTAATTCGGTTTTAGTTTTGTTTTAAAAAATGAAAGAGACGAATATCCGTTTACGCTTCGCCAAGCGGCTCCCCGCGTGAGGCCGTGTGAATAGACGGAGGATATTATGGAGACCACTTGCATATATGTAGGAGTAACTCTGGGGGGGGGGGGGAATAAAGGGGGGAAAAGGGGAGCATAATTATCCTTACTTTATTTAACGTTGCAACTTATGATAGTCCCCCCCC